CTTCTCGATATTCAACTCTTCATTATTTTGAGGTAAGGCTGCTTATTCCAAAACAAGCATGAAGTAACATGCTCTATTTTTCACGTGAATAATAGGGCAATTTCAAAACTCTTTCCATCCATTTCCTTTCACTTTCTGAGAGTTGTGTTAGTTATTTAATTTTCCTAGAATCTTTTTAAACATAATTTAAGTTGCATTAAACACTTACTGATTGTATTTAGAAATTCCTATTCATAAATAGCTTCATTCTTCCAAAATAGTCTTTCACCTACCTTATCAGAATATTTAATGCCAAAAGACATTATTTTCCTTACTTGCCTTATTCAAAACTCCATCGTAAAGCATTGTTCCATTGCCTCTTTTCGGGAAAAGCTTAGAAGAGAGAAGTCAATGACTCTAATGGCTATATTCATGAGTCTAACAGATCATTTATGAAGCCCTACTATAAATTAAAGCATTTATGAAGATGGTGAAAAGAACAATACAAACGAACAATACGAGCTATTTCATTTTTTGTTTTACCAACTTTTAAAGTTTGTATTCGTTACAAGTGAGCGTCATTGATTATATATTAACTCTTGGAGAGAGTATTTGATAGAACTAATTCATTCTTAAATTTACTCTATTTGTCTCTATTTTCTTTCTTAAAACAAAGGATCTTAAACTTAGAGAGTTTAAGAGGGATAAATCATTACCTTTGTAAGGAGAAGTGATTCAAACTTTAGTTTAACTTTAGGATTGTACTGAGGCTACTAAGAGCCAATATTAATCTTGGTGGAGTTATTGAAAAAATCTCAAGTGGTACTTAGGGATTAGATGTAAGCTCAAGTTGTAGGAGTTGAATCAAGATAAATGATCTGTCCAAGCTTCTCTTCTTTACTCTACTATGATTGGTGATATCATTCTAAACTCATCTCTTTAATTTTATTATTAGCCCAATTTTTATAAACCTAATTCACCCCCTTCTACGGACTTTCACTTTTGCTTTTACAATTGTTAATTGCTTTTAGAGTCAAACTTGAGATATAGATAGAAGATAAAGTGATGGTTGATATAAAAAAAACTAATAGAAGAAAACAGAGATGGTCACTTGCTACTAACATACTATATCTACAGGGTGCTCTCTTCGATTTGTAATGACCTCTGTCATTAACCTCAAACGACTCCAATAACCAATAATCCTTAACCATAAAGATTAATCATGGCTTTAATGTTTAAAACATTTGTTAAGTGACAACTAGAAATTGGGATCCTAAAGAGTCATTAAAGATTAACTAGAATGCTTTTTTAAAGTCAGGGTATTAAAAACATGTGGAAACATGGAAATATCAAACATAACATAGCATTGAGAAAGGAACGAAAAGGGCAAAACTATCATCTTGGAAGACTAGACTAGCTCACTGTGGCTAAAAGTACCTTTGATATGGCCCTACAACCTTACTCACCCCTGCCAACACCTATTACACACTCATTGTAATGTCCTCCTTGACATTACCAAACTCATCCACATACACTATTCGAAGGTTGATAGAAGCTCTTACCCTCTGTATTACCATAAGTCACGTATGTTAAAAATATAGAAATTAATAATTTAAAAATAGTTGGGATTCTAAAAATCTTTTGAAAATAGTTCAAATCACCCAAAAATATATATTATGCACAGTGAAGCGTTTAGGAATGCTTAAGTACCATGTACTGCAAAACAGGGTCAAAATAGTCATTTTAGTCATGTATGTTAAAAATTTGTGTCATGTGCTACAGCACATATGACAATTTTTGCTATCATAATAGTTTGATATATGCAAACTTTCAGTGTTTGGCATTTTCACATATGATATTCGATTAGAATGATTCAAGTGCTTATAGGAAGCTTATTCGATAATCTAACTTATGACAAAGGTTTCATTTCAATCTAATGTTCTATGTGAAAATTAGATACTTTGATGTAAAATGACCACTTTATGTCATCTTCACTCACCCGAATGTCCCAAATCCAAATCACGTGTCATTAGCTACTTTTAAGGCCTTAACCACATCCAATGGGACATTTAACACCTAATTAAGCAATTATATCATCTGAGTCACATGTATACACAAATTTCACATATATACATAAATATCACACTTACACATATATATACACACACTGGCCAAATTTCACACATTTATCACTTTCAAACACACATTCATACACTTGTATTAGTATCTTATCCCTCTCTATCACATTCTACATCATTTCATATGTTTTCATATCACAAGGCTAAGATACACACATGATAATCACACAGGTGCATCAAAATATGCTAATGCATTCCTATGGCAACTTATATCATTAAATATTGACAACACACAAGTTTATTATACAAAACTCCAATAGCACAGCAGTAGCACAAGATCACACAAGTGGCATCATAATAATACCCAATTAGTCCCAATCCCAACCAAAGGAGTGAAATAGGTCTAACTAAAGTGAGGCACCCCCTATTAAGGTCCATGCGGGGGGCAAAGTAAGTGATCATGACTCATCTTATTTTCTAGAAGATTCCCAACACATCCATCACCCCTTTAGTACAATTTTCTCAATTGCAACCTAACCCTACTCAGAAATCACTTTTATATAGCAATTTAATCTTAATTTAGTATATATTAAGTCACAATATACCTCAAACATGCTAGAGACAATTTAAAATATTAGAATCCAACGGAATTCCTTAAACCATATAGATTAAAAGGTTATCAGCCTAGTTATTGGTTTTCAATAAACATATCCAAAATATCAATTAGCATATTCATTAAGGTCCTTCTAAATAACAAAATATACATATAATGTATTCTGTTAAAAAATGTAAGGAATTTTTAGTATTTTAATATGTAATCATTGTCTTTTTTTTCAAAAGTGTACCTAATGAATAAATCATTTTATTTTTTATTTTAGAGTGAAACATCCTATTAAATAGGGGTATATATATAAAGATACACAGTTTGAGGATAAGTAACTACTTTATTAGGAGTGAGATTCAATTAAAAATGTTTTACATTTTTAAATGGAAGGAGTACAATATTGCAAACCTACACATTCATACAAGATAAATTTGACTGCGATTACCCAGGCTCAAGTGAACTCAAGGGCTCTTACACATTCAACTTGGGTTAGCTAAGGAAAAAAATCAGGGGTTCTCAACAAGAACCTCCTCACATGTCTACAACCCAATAGAATTAGAAATTAGGACTCTAAAGCAAATAAGAATTAATCCTAACACACTCATGGCATGAACATGTAACTCTATAACTTCATTTTCCTCACTCTACTAATATTAATTAACTTAAAGTAGCCTTTAATTTGTCACATACTAGCCTTTAATCCCAAAACACTGAATTTCTTTTCTTCTAAAAGCTATAGCTTTTAGGGATTTAACATGTCATCGCTTTTTAACTAAATGTAAACCTATGGAATGTTTAGAATTGCTTAATTACTCTTTTCAAAGTGATTAATAAAAAATTAAATGGTACAAACTTTTTCAATTAAATTTCCTATCCTCTAGCCATCCCAAAGCATGCTAACCTTAAAAATCCCATAATCTATAAGCCAATTTGAGGTTTAGAGTACATACCTAAGGCTTAGTAGCTCCAAATTAACACTCAAGGTTTGAAATTGGCGTTCCCCTACTTAAGGAAGGTTGAAATTGCTGATTTGAATGTGTTAAAATCCTATTTTCTGCTCAGAATCGTATGTAAAAGTGTCTGTCTGAGTTGCATTCATCAGCATTAGTGCTAGTATAAATTATGGCCAACTGCCAACACGAGCCATGTTCACGGGTGTCTATTCGGTGTCTATTCGCAGACAAATGTGACTCCTTTGCTCACGTATGAGGCTGGACAATAGCAATAGCTTGTTTTGTCTCCTATTTTGCAACTAAACCCTTCTTAAAGTGTCTGAACTCATTCTAAGTCATCCTTAAGTGTTTTAAAAAGATTTCTAAGAGGCTTTCCATGTGATAAGGATGTTACATGCCTATTGATAGTTTTAATAAATCAGGAAAATATGAAAGTTCTTCGAGAAGTATCTTCAAATTATCTCCCATTGATTTGAGGCCATGAAGAGATTATGAGAAACAAAGAGTTTACACAAGATGAGCAACACAAAGGGCCAAGATTGGATAACACTTGATATTGAATCAATGGAAAACTTGACTAATACATAGGGTTTTATGTTATTTATATAATATCACAATTTCTAATAATCACTAACAAGTGGTATAAATATCCAAGTAATGAAGTTATTTTAATTACAAAAGTCATGATATTTATTCCTAACAAAAGATTAATTTGGATCTCTTAAGCTCTTTAGTTATACATCAAAAGAATTTCAATCCTTGACTTTACCCCACCCCACCACAACTCACCATTGCCACATAAGCTAACTTGGCTTGAATCCCTTAAACTATTTGATTGATTCAATCCAAATTGTGTTTTAATGGGAATCCTATAATGAGTAATCAAGTTGTTATTAAAAAAAAAAATATATGGCTTCTCATCACTACAAAAAAACAAAGACATATATATTCTTATTCACCTTGCATTATGCTTTCTTGTAACTTGCAATGGGGATAATTGGATATAATCAAATTCAATGATTAATCTGAGTAGTGATGGATATTAAGTGGCCATCCCCTTTTAAAATAATTAATTACCATATTCAAGTGAAAACTAAAAAGATAGACATGTGAGAAAGGCACGAGCTCTGCTTTTGTGGGACCCGCATGATAGAAGTTAGTTTCGTTCTGCTATACATTTCTCTCTCTTCGAGAACATTACATCCTTGGAATCCTATAATCTCTTTGGTTCCTCTTATAGAAAAATATTAAAAAAATGGCTCTATTTTCTTAATAAATTACATTTATTACAAACAGTAAATGCAATTTAGGCATTATGTATATACAAGTAAACCAGACCCTTGAGACTTGAGAGGCTTGCAGCCGCTTTTCCTCTTCAACTCAATAATGGAACCCTCCAGGTCTCATAATTCATCGTTCGCTCCAAAAAGTACTTTGATCCGAGATTCATCGTCGCCATTGTCAATCCCAGAAGAGAGATCTCAAGTTCAATGGACCTGGGAAGAGAACAAGGTATTTGAGAATACTTTAGCTGAGTTTGGTCTTGAATCTGAACTGCTACTTCCAACTCTTGCTTTGAGGATCCCCACAAAAAGCATCAATCAGTTTAAAGAGCATCTGAAAGCTCTGGAAGATGACATTAAGATGATTGAATGTTCAGATTTTGATGAAATTATGAACCTTGGAAAGATTGACGAACAAGCTCCTAAACAATCAAATGCAAGATCTATTCCTAGGGAACGTAGAAAAGGAATTCCATGGACCAAGACTGAACATGAGTATGTATTTCTTTGCTTTGATTCTTTTACTTCATTATTGATTTCTCAATCTCTCGCTTTCGTGTTTGAAACCGGGGGAAATTTCTGGCTTGCATTATTTATGCACATTAAAAATATATATATGTTTAAATAAATGTAGATTGCATTTTAGGTTGTGATTAATTGATCTTTCAAGAAAATTAAAAGACCCCCAAATTTTTATCCGAATTAATGGTACATTACCGACACAAGGCTTGACGGTTTTTTTTTTTAAAGTTAATTTTTTTACAATTTATTCCATCATTACTAAAATTCTATTTTTTTATGTAATCAAGTTATATTTTCCAAAATAATTAATCAAGTTGGGGATAGTTCAAGGAGAAGAAAGAAAACCCAATCACTCTTGTGAAATTAGGGTTTTGAAGAAAGTAAAGTGAGAAGACTTGCTTACGTCCATCATGAACTTAAAATTCCTTGCACTTTCTGATCTGGATGATTCATATTAAATTACTGAGTATATTGCTTGTAGGAAATTAAATCCAAGCATAACTTATCAGTATGTATTTGCAAAACAAGAGAGTGAACTGAGGAACCCATTACACACACACACGAATTACAATATTATAATACTTGAAGCTCAAAACTTTACAGAACATTTAAATTACTCATAAATGATATATAAAATATACTTAGTTTCCTTGAAATTTACAAAAACAATTACGCTGTGAGAACATCGAACAACTACTTGAAGATACTGTAAATCCAAGAGTTTTTAAGATCGTAAGTTAGGGACAAATTAAATTAATGCCCCAACCTTTTGAGGTATGATAATCAAATAATACTTCAATTCATCCCCTATACAACATTAAGATTATACCACAAATTTGCAAACCCAAACTGGAACTTGAGCAATTGAAATTTAAGCAAAACGATCTTAATTGATCGAACACATAAAGTAAATCCAAATATATGCAAAAAAAATATACCTACATATCAGCTTCTGGGCAAGGGCTTGCATTATTTTTCTTTAAAACTGAGAATTTAAGATTCCTCAACATTTTCTGGAGAAGATATCTTTGTGCTTGTCAACGAGATTTTTTGAACTTAATTATATGTGCTGGTTTTCCCTAGTTAATTAATTTGGATGATCTGTCGATAAGATTTTACTTCAAATTTTGTGGTGGTTGCTAGATTTGCTTATATTTTTGTCTAAATCAAATAATTCTTTTTCTCAAATTTAGTTCAGTTTAGAAAATTTATCCGGTGATTACTTCAGTTCAGTACTTAGAAGGAAAAGAAATAAAAACCAGAAGGTTATGCAACCGTATGTGTTTTCTTTTTTTCAAATACATGACAAAGGAAATGGCTTACACGGGATTCAATTCGAAGAATGTAAAATAGTAATTCATCCCCCTATCAATAGAATATATATATATATATATATATAAGAAAAATTGTAAAGAAAAAGCCATAAAGTAATTCTTTTTCTTTGCTAGTATCCATTGAATTTCACTATCATGGATTAAGTGGTGAAGGCAGAATAGTGATTAAGAATGATATGAGTCACATCAAAATGGCATTGTTTTTAATTAAGGACTACAAAATTCAATATGGAATTAAAAATTAGGTCATACTATTACATTTCTACATTTAAGTTAGTCTCTCATTGATCCTCCACTATCATTCTAAACCATTTATATCTATCAAATTTTAATGATACAGATTAATCTTTGCTTTTAAAAATCTTTAAAGCGAATCTAACAGTCTATAGTTGTAGTTTTTTATTCATTTAGTAGAGAGAAGCCCAATAATATGAAAACAAGAGATTAACTTAGGACTGTCATCAAACTAGCTATTTACACTGTTAATAATTAATCACAGTTCTAAGACTTCTTTTTGTCTATTTTATTATTGAATCATTTTTTCTTTCTTTGAAACTCAGAAAATCTCAGTAATTTGAGTAGAAATGAAGATTGATATTTAGTTCTAATTGAACATTGTAGTCATACTTTGTAAACAATTGATCATTTTGTGTGCATTGTATCTATATCTTAACATTTTAAAACTTATCATATCACACATATTTACCTTGTGCTGGATTATATATGTGTGTATGTACTTAGCTCCTCACATTTTACTACCCATTTTCTTATGCATTACAAAAATTGTAAAAATTTTGAGACATCTTGTTTATGACTTATGAATAATATAATTTGATTACATATATTTTATATTTTATACTGATATTGATATGGGCAAACAGAATGTTCCTTCAGGGGCTTGAGCGCTTTGGAAGAGGTGATTGGAAGAGCATATCAAGGTTTTTAGTGACATCTAAAACTCCAACTCAAGTGGCCAGTCATGCACAAAAGTACTTTAAGAAACTTGAAAACCCTAAGTCTCGTTCTAGGAAAGACGGATCGTTCATGCGAACGGTTGACGATTCACATATGCTGGCGGTGGCCATGGCAGAAAAGGCACAACTTGCCATCTCTGATGACTATAAGAAGCCATGATTATGGATTTAGTAGTGTTATTGCTGCATGCTCTTTAATTTGGCAACTCCTTGAATGATGACTAGCTGATTCTGAAATAATCTTTCTTTTCAAACTCAGACAGAAATTTTAATTTCTATGGTTTAAATATGCTTGAAGATCTTCTTGTGGTTCTTTTGTTATCTTTCGATTACATGAGTGGCTGCCTAGCCAATTATATTCCTGAAATTCTTCCTTTCTATGTTGGTGGAGATCTTCGTTTTATCAGTTTCCGTGGTTTAATATGTTTGAAAATTAATTTTAGTGGTACTCCCTCTATCTATTCATAAGGGAGAGAAAAAGATTTTTTTTTTTGTCTTATTTATAAGTTACATTAATAAATTTTCAATTCAAGTTTTCTTTTTTACCTTCCATTAATTAAATATCCAGAAAAACATGTAATTAAAATATGTATATTTAATAAAGGTAAAATTGAACAGTCATTAAATTTTTTAAACAAAGTTAATAAGTTTTAAATTTTTTTTATTCCAGTGAAATATGTTAGAAGTGATTTATAAATAAAATCAGAAAAGTATATTTTAGTCTTTTGAATCTTAAATACATGTTTAAATTTTATCTTATTGAATTATCATATATATATATATATATATATGGTTAGTTTTTAACTGAGTATGGATTATTTTATCAAGGAAGAAAATAGTAAAGTACCTCCCAAGTGAAGAGAAAAAAATATTAGAAACTTAACAAGATGGGTTAAAAAGAGAAACTTATAATTGACTTCATACACTCTTGGATGGGTTCGCATTCATTGCTCATTAGCCCTCTGGCTTATGATCTAAGCCTTTCATTTTATTTTAAAATGATCTCTACCATTCATTTTAAATTAAGTTTCAGGTATTGTTAATATTATATTTATTAAAATAAAAAATTATTAAAAAATTAATATTAAATCTGTACTTTGGAGGTACTTTACCATTTTCTCCCTTAAAAATATGATATTGAAAAAGATTTTTTTTTTGCCACATGATATTGAAAGAATAAAAGCATTATTCTTTTAATTGCATCATTAGCATGATGAAGTAGTTAAAAATATTTTTTTCTCACACTTCCTCCTTATTTTATCCAATTGAATTTGTAGTCTAAGCATCATGAAAGAATGTTAACCTCCATAATTTCATATTATTTGAGCACATTCTCCTTACATTTTAATATATTTTGGCAAAAAGAATGTTAAGCTATAAATTTCACCCTTTTTTTAAATCCCTTTTCCATGTATCATACCATGGCTCTATTTTGGTATTTTCAAGCTAATTTATTGATATTTTAGTTTAAGATTTGGTTGGATGCATTTTTGAACCCTTGATGGTGCTTTTGGACGGATTTTAGATAAAGAAATCAGGCGAAAGATGATTAGTCATGCTAATTGGGAGAAGTGTACAAAACAAAGTAAAGTTGTGACCAAAAATGTGGCTTTATTCACAACTTCCAAAGCTACATCAAAACAAAGTGTTTTATTCACTACTACAAAAAAGAGTATTACATCATTCTTTTATGTCAATTAATTTAAAATCATATGCAAAAAAATAATGATGGCACTTTTTGTAATTATGGGTGAGAGTATTAACATTGGTTTTTGGAAAAAACTGACGTAAAAATTTTTTTCCCTGTCAATTTTAAATAAAACTAACATGAAAAGTTTATTTTAAAAAATTGAAAAAATGTCAGTTTGCATGTCGGTTCTTGAATAACTAAGTGGAAATTAGATACCACATAAGTAAAAAACTAACGTGGTATCCCTTATATCAGAAAGTAAAAAGATGCTCCCCCACTTATTCTTTGAATCAGCCTTCATCTCCAGTACTCTACTCTCTCTCTCTCTCTCATTTTTGAACTTTTGAGTGTCGTTCCTTTCGAAAGCTATCACCATCCACCGTTGTGCTCATCATCATCGCCATTTGCGTCTGCCATCACTGTTGTTCGGGGTCTTCCGTCACCGTGTCACTGAATTTCGCATCTGCTATGGTCAAAATCTTCTTTATTGATGGGTTTTCTTGTTTTTGATAGGTCTTCTTCAGGATTATTGGTGGGTCTCCTTCTTCTTCATTTTCTAGTAGGTGCTCTCTTCTTTTACCTTCTTCCTCTTCCATTATTGGGTGTTTCTATTCAATGGGATTTTTATGGTTGCAATTTCTTCCTTAATGGATTTTGGTTAAGTCACATTGTTTTTTTTATATTTTTAATTGGTTTCAGAAATTTATTTTTATTAGGTAGTCATGAATATGAATTTTTGCCTTTAATTTTTTATTTGTTCTTACTTTCTTATTTTTTTTCTAATTTTTATGTGACAAAATTTGTTGCTTCTACTATGTGAAAAATCAAATTCTTTATTTTTAATTGAGCTTTTTAATAAAATGAATTTTATACTTGATTAGGTTAATTAATTTTATTGTGATGAATTTTGGTGTTTGATTGTGATGGTTGAGGTTTAAACATTATTATGTTTATAATAGATATATATTTCCAATTGTCGTTGGAATTTTGTGATTGTTGAAATTTTGGGATGTTATGATTTAAGAGGAAACTCTGCCAAATTTGTTTTCTAATCTTATAAGTTGAAGAATAAATATGCTTTAACTAAGAAGATTATATTTAGTGATTGCAATGCAAGCTTTGAGTGATATAGGGTTATGCTGTGAGCTGTATTCCTATATTACTTGTTCCATTTATAGTTTTGAATATTAGGAAGTACGACGTTATCATTTTTTGTTTATTCATTTATCCTAATTTGTAGAATGATTGTGAAAACCTCATTTGTTGGAAAAAGGCATTTAATTTCAACATTGGTGCATCATTAACTAACTATGGATTGTTTTGTGCAGGGTTTGTGATTTCATCTTTGTGTATAACATGTTTTGTGCAGGGTTTTTATTCTATCATTCTCTATCCAACATTTATTGGTCTATATATATTCATCAAAAAATCAAAATTACTTGATAGCATAAAATTCAATCCACGAGAATATTTTCCAATAATTTTACTTTTAGTAAAATAGCTGGTTGTGATACAGGCACATCTTCTCTTCTCTTGAGCGTGAAACCAAATCATTTTTTTCCTGACGGTAAGCAATTTTTTGATTAATTGAATTAATTTTATTTCTTACTATTCTTGTTTGTTGTACCTTTTCTTATCATAACGTATAATTCCATAATGCTAAAAATATACAATTTTGGCACTCTATTACTTCCGTAATCTGTTTTTATTAGTAAAGATTTGCTTGGCTTTTACATAGGAATACCATGATGGGCAATGAACCTGCAAGTTCTAATAGCTATGCAAGGTACACACTTCTTGATTGTTCTCTTATTAATTTTATGGGTTTCCACTTATTATTTGATTGACTAATATAGTATTAAAACCACAGTAGAGATTGACCGCATTCAAGAAAATATTATTTAGTTCATTTTATAAATATATATTTAGTATAGTTGTAACTTGTGGTATTGTCATTGTGATTCTGCTGACTGGCTATTTATACTTGTTGTTAATCTATACAATTTATAGGTTTTAAGTTTTAGAAGTATAGAAAAACAAACAAATTTTTTTAACAAAATTAGACTTTTAACAACGGTTATATAAAAAAAATCATTGTGGAAAAACTTTTAACAACAATTATCTATAAATAAGGATTATGGAAAGTCAATTTGAGAAAGCCACAATGAAAAACAAGACTTTTCATGTTGGTTATTTAAGTAACTGATGTGGAAATTCTTTTCCACATAAATAATCGACCTAAAAAGTCAACTTTTCACTTTCCTTTTTTTTTTTACTTTTCCGTAATAACTGATGTAAAAAGTTTAAAATAACTGTTATTAAAAGTTCTTACTACAATAGTGATTTAGCTGATAAAGTTAAGGTTTTGGTGTATATAAGGGCTATTTTTGACTTTGGCTAACATTTGGGACTTCTTGGGAGAATTTGGGAGCTTGGAGTGTGTTAGGGCATGGATTTTGGTGGAGATTGAGCTTGGATTTGAAAATTGAAAGAGATTTTGGCTTTATATCTTGATTTTTCTTCTTCATTCTCCTTCTCTTCCTCTTGTTCAATGTTTATGTTGATATATTTGTATTTTCTCATGGGTTTTATGAACATTTGCAGCCTTTGAGATTATTTTGAATCCTTGTATGGATTAAATACTCATTTCCCCTTCATATTTGTAATTAATGATGTGATCATGTTGATTTTACTCTATGCTTAATACTCCTAGTTGATTGGCCACCAATTAGATTAATGTTGGATTCACTTGATTGATACTTAAGATAACTAGGTCGAGTGTGGAATTTAAGTTAAATCATGTGAGAATTTGAAGTTTGCAAGTTGAATAGGTGATTTTATTAATGGGGCAAAGATACACTCATTAGTCTCACACTACATAAAATTTGCAACAAAAATTGGAGTCTAATTAGTTAATTAAGAGATTAAGAGATTAATTAAACTAAACACCTACTTGGAGACTTGAGAGAGCACTTGTGAGTAATTTAGTATTCTTAACTAGCATAATTCATCATTAAGAGCAAAATGTATAGGGGATTGATTGAGTATTATTGAAATATAAAAGGAGATATAAATAATCCTAAGTCTAATTACATTCAAAAAATTCTCTATCAATTTCTTTTCTAGTTTATTTTATACTTTTTGCATATTTAATGGATTTAACTTTGCCTATGTTTTATAGCTAGTCCTAAACCTGGATAAAGGAGGAGGGTTGTGTTGGGCCCTCAACAGCCAACGTAAAAATTTGTTGAATTACACATGGATATAAATAATAGATGTTTTTGTGGTAATGCTAGGTCGTTGCCCATAAGTAACGCGCTGCATGGCTCGAGTGTAGTGATAAGTGAGTTAGGGTCGCTGCATCGATGCTCGGATGTAGTGTTAAATGAGCAAGGGCTACCATGTTATTCTGGATCAGCTCGCCTAAAGAAGTTAGTTCATGTGAGCAAGATTAGACTTGGTACTTGGAATGTTAGGACCTTGATTGGTAAATTTGTGGAGGTGGTAGTAGTTATGATTCAAAGAAAAATTAATATTTTGTGCCTGTAGGAAACTAAATGGGCTGATAAACAAGCTAAGGATATATAAGGTTTCAAACTCTACTATATTGAGAAAGTAAACACATGTAATGGGGTGGGCATCATTGTCGATAAGGAGTGGTAGATGTTAACAAAATTGGGGATAGAATTATTTCCTTAAAATTGATCATCAGACGGGAGATTATCAATATTGTTAGGGCTTATACACCTCAAGTTGAAATAGAAGCCAATTTTAAAGAATTATTTTGGAAAGACTTGGAGGGGCTGATTGAAAGAAAACCACATAATGAAAAGATCTTTATTAGAGGAGACTTTAATGGACATGTTGGGAGGGAGATAGGTCATTATACGAGGATGCATGGTGGTTTGGGTTTTAGGGAACTAAATAATGAAGGACAGCATATCTTGGATTTCTCTTTGGCATATGATTTCAAGATTGCTAACACCTATTTTAAGAAGAGGGATGAGCATCTCATCACTTATAAAAGCAGAGCTTCAAAGTCATAGATTGATTTCTTTTTGGAAAGGAATGCGGACAGAAGACTTTGTAAAAACTGTAAGGTGATTCTTGGGGATGCTATTACGACATAACACAAGATCCTTGTCCTTGATGTATGTATTATGAGTAAAAACCAAAAGCGTCAATAAGTAATAACTCCAAGGATTAGGTGGTGGCAATTAAAAAGTGAAAAGAGAAAAGTCTCTTGGTTGAAGGAATTTGGGAGTGTCGAGGAAGTGCCAATACCTTCTGGGAGACTTGGCTGTGAAGGTAAGGAAGGTAAAAGAAGTTTTAGGAGAATCAAGAGGTTTTGGTCTGAGAGATAAGGAGTCTTAATAGTGGAATGATAGTGTACAGGAAAAAAATTAAGTATAAGAAGGAGTATTTCAAAGCCATTCATTTATGCAATAATGATGAAAATTAGAAAAAGTATCGTATGGCTAAAAGGAAATTAAGAGGGCTGTGAGTGAAGCTCATTCTAAAGTATTTGAAAAGTTCTATAATGGTCTTGGGATAAAGGATAGAGAATGAAAAATTTATAAGATTGCTAAGAGTAAGGAAAGAAAATCAAGAGATTTGAAACAAGGTGTATAAAGGATGAAGAGGGAAATGTTCTGGTCACAAAAAATGATATTAAAGATAGATGGGAGACATATTTTTCTAAGCTTTTCAATGATGATAGGGGCTCGTCAATTAACTTGGAATTTTTAGTAATTTCTGAAAGAGTGCAAAATTTGTCTTTTTATTGAAGAATACGAGCTTGGGAAGTGAGAGAGGCTCTTAAAAAATTAGCAAATGATAGAGCTAATGGACCTAATTGTATCCCTATTGAAATGTGAAAATATTTGGGTGAAGAAGGAGTGTAGTGGTTAACTAAGTTATTTAATGAGATCTTACAATCCAAGAGAATGCCGGATGATTGGAGGAGAAGCATCTTAGTTCCTATTTATAAAAATAAAGGAGATATTTAGAATTGTACTAACTACAAAGGGATTAAACTTATGACTCATATTATAAAATTATAGAAAAGAGCAATTGAACATAGGTTGAGATTGGAAACTAGGACTTCAAAGAATTAGTTTGGCTTCATGCTAGGGAGAGCGATTACAAAAGCGATTGATCTACTAAGGGGATTAATGGAAAAGTATTGATGTAAAGGCAAAGATTTAGATATGGTTTTCATTAATTTGGAAAAAGCTTATGATCGTATACCGAAAGAAATACTTTGGAAGGCTTTGGAAAAGAAGGGTGTCTGATTCCCTATATTCGAGCTATACAAGATATGTATGAGGGGGCAATAACTAGTATAAGAATGCTTGGTGGTGAAACAAAAGATTTTTCTATAAAGATTGGATTGCATCAAGGATCATCTTTGAATCCTTATTTGTTTGATCTAATGTTAGATGTTTTGACTGAGCATATTCAAGAGAAAATTCTTAAATGCATGCTTTTTGCATTCTTATTGCAGATACAAGAGAAGAAATAAATTATAAACTTGAGTTATGCAGAAAGACATTGGAGTCAAAAGGTTTTCACCTGAGTAGGAGTAAAACAAAATATTTATATTGTAATTTTGATAAAAGGATCAGTGAGTAGTAACTTGAAAGTGAAATTGGGTGATCATACCATATCTCAAGTGAAAAATTTTAGATATTTGGAGTAATTGTTCAACAAAATGGAGACATTGATGGAGATATTATACATAGGATACAAGTGGGGAGATTTAATTGGAGAAAGGTTAAAGGAGTTATTTGCGATCGTAAGGTACCTAATAAGTTTAACGGAAAGTTTTATCGAAATGCTAGAAGACCAGCAATTTTATATGGTAGTGAATGTTGGGTTTTGACGGGACAGCAAAAGCATAAAGTTGAAGTAGCAGAGATGAGAATGTTGAGATGGATGTGTGGATATACACATAAAGACAAATTTTGAAATGAGCAAATACAAGAAAAGTGGGTGTGGCACCTATTGAAAAAAATGGTAGAAAATCATTTGAGGTGGTTCAGACATGTACAAAGAAAACCACGGGAGGTACCTGTGAAGAGAGTGGAATATATGACTTTGAGTCGTATCAAGAAGGGTGGAAAAAGATCAAAGAGAACACTTTTGAAGGTTGTTAAATGAGACCTTTTAATTAATAATATTCCTAAAAACTTAATAAATAATAGAAAACAATGGCATATATAATCCATGTAGCTGACCCTCACTTAGTGGGATAAGGCTTGTTATTGTTGTTGTTATACTTTTGGATTTACTCAACTTAATTGAATTTGCAATGTATTTTGTTTGACCAAATTTTTAACACAAATCTCTATAGAAATAATACTTTTTTTCACTCTATATTACTTGTCATAACTTGTGCATTTGCAGAGCGCAACAAATTAAGAACTCTAGAACATTAAAAAGAGAAACTTAATTGAAACTTCATAACACTTGGATTTGGCATTGTACTCTGAAAACCTCTTAGAGATCTCATACCAAATGTGTCCTTTTTTTTTACTTAGAAATATGATATTGAAAGAAATATTTTTTTTATTTGCATTTTTAGCATGATAAGAGTTAAGGGGGGGAACATTTCCCACATTTCCCCCTTTTTTGTTAAGGAAAAATTATATCCGAATCCCTCACAACGTAACACAGTTAAATACTGCAACGTTTATTAGCAACCAAAAGTAAGCGGTATTTAATTGTGTTGAGGGATGTAAGCGTAATTTCCCTTTTTATTTTATTAAATTGTATTTGTAGCCTAAGCATCATGAAAGAACTAGAACATATAAAAATTGTATTTGTAGCCTACGCATCATGAAAGAACTCGAACAAATAAAACTAAGTCCAAATAGGGAATGAAATTACTACAGTCTTACATAGAGCTCTATTATTGGTATAAAAATATGGTAATTAAGCCAAAAAACATAAAAGAAAGGAAAATGCTCTAAATCATATTAAGATCCTATGTTTGATTCTATTTTATGTCTGAGCAAATTAAAGTGTGAATTATTATATTAAAGTTCAACATTCCAAACAGCTCCTTCTCCTTCACCACAAGATTTGTGTATGTCCTTCATTTTCTCCACTGACTTGCAAATGCCACTGCATGACCAATCAAATGACGCCACGCATACATTCCCCGCTCTTGCCTTCCAATCACAGTCTGTATACATAAACATATTTTTAATGTTAATTATTGAAGAGTAAATGAAAATTGACTTTAATTAATAATTAATGAAATTAAAATATGTCGTTGAGGTATTGAATTTAAAGAGAAATCACCAGCTGTTTTCTCACAATAGATAGAGCTGAATCTCTCTCTCTCTCTCTCTCTCTCTCTCTCTCTCTCTCTCTCTCACGCACACAATAATATTAATAATAATAAATTGCTTTTGCTTTAACGTGGGAGGCATATTCAAAAAATTCAACACATACTTTTTGCTTAAAATGTAACATATTTATATATATATATATATATACAGTTTACCAAAACAAAAAATTGTAACACACATACATGCATACATAGATATATATAAACAATTATTGTAATTTAATATAATTTATTTTTTTAAAAAAAAACATTCTTTCATTTACGAATTATGCCAAACGGGTCCACCCTAATTCTTTACCTAAAAAGCGTACATGTTCTTTTTCTTTTTCCGTTCCTTTTTTTCCCCTAAAGGGCATTTATTTTCCTGTTTGAACAAAACAATCAGTATAAATGGCATGAGCATGCCAAAAAGCCACCATTTTTTCATTTAAAAAAATAACAATAAGATTACCAAAAAATTGTGCACTTTATAAAAGTATTTTGGAATAAATGAAGAAAACATCATTAATACTAATAATGAAAAAAATTCAAATACAAAAACAAACAAAAGAAGCATCTCATATGCAAGGGGTGAAATATCATTCACGTGTGTGTTTTCATTTGGCTTAATCATACTATAAATATCATTGAACAAAATAAATTATGCTATGAAATCGAAAATAAATATAAATTATTAGAAGTGATATGGTTTAGGTGGTTATAAATAAAACAACTTCTAACTTTATACTTCGTGCAATGCACAAGGCACAAGATCTTATTAGAAGTAAATAAATAATTTGGATTTTCAATTATATGAAATTAATATCAGTGAATTTCTGTCAAATTTGCATTTTTAAAGAAGAAAGAGAAATTTTTATGTTTTATAAAAACTAATAAAATAATAAATGCTAAAAGAGACAAACTTTATAGAAATTCACATATTTCAATTTGAGATTAGTTAAATCCATAAAATTTGATGGCTAACCTGGAGGAGTTCCACAACACATAGAACGTTCATCAATATGTTGAACCTCTAGGCCAAATAACCATGAGCCTAAACTTACGTCCTCATTTGCATATCTGTGAAGTATAGGCCTGCCAATTATATGACTTTATTAATGACTATATATATATATATCACTAATTAATAACAAGAAAATTATTTAATCAATTTTAAAAATTTAGCAAAATTCACAGTGAAATTTTCAAAGTCTCACATGACTTATTTTTCCTTCTACCTCAAAGTTAAAGAGATTATTTTGTATGGTTTTGCTTTATTTATGTATGATTTTATAATTGCTTTGATTTTTGCGTCTTTCCCACTTTATAAACTTGTGAAATTAAAACCATTTCTTATTGGTTTATGAGAACATAAGAAACCATGCATTTAATGCTTTTAAGAATATCTTTTGAAAATAATATATAAATTTCCAATTTTGCTTACATGTCAAATAATTATCAACGCCTGAATTTTTATTTTATTTTGTTGATAAATATGAAAATTATATTTTGATTAAAAAAACTTACAAAAAAGAGAGATGAAATGTAATTTAGAAGACTAATAAATAAAGAAACCAAACTATGGCAAATTGGGAATCATCAAATTTGGGTGATGTAAAATAAATATAATTTAATTTCAACTACTATTCTTTAAGAAAATTGTAATAATGATTCAATTTAATGTACGTACGTATATGTACATGTATACGTATGTAATATTTGACCCGAACGAGTTCTATAAAATGTGCATATATATAATTATGACTGTGGAGAATTCATTACTATACTCACCAATTGATGGAAATATAAGTTGCAAGATCCTTAGAGATGGCATAGATTTGGCCAGTGGCATGCCTGAAATACTTGTTTCCTTCTTCTCCAAATTTCCAGTGCTCAGGCTCATGGTACTTAACCCCTCTGATCATACACAATTCAAACCCAAATTAATAACCCAATTAAAATAAACAAATTAATTTAGCATATTGAAGAAAAAGAAGAAGAAGAAATACTCACTTTTGATGTAGAACAGGACCAGATTTCATGCAGCCAATATAAACCCTAGGTCTTGATCGGTATTTAGCAAGTGTACTTACTAGCATACCTTCAAAAAAAAAAAAACAAAGAAGAAGCAACATTCACATTCACATGTAATTAAGGGACTTCACGGATTCATTTTTGAGGAAAAATAAAACTGAACAAAACCAATTGGTTCACCAAAACTTGAGATCTTTTTGGCTCTTTTATATAATTGGTTTTGTTTGGTTTTTGAGCGGTCCGGTTTGGTTTTGTTTAGATTTATATCATGTTTGAAATTTTTTTGTAAGATATTTTTCATAATCTATATATGTAAATATTCATTAATAATTTTTTACTTTAATTACTATTTTCAACAACAAAAATCATGAGAATAAAAGAATATTTTTAATAATTAATTAGCACATTTACCCATTAAAAACTAATACGTTACCTACTTATTTTAAACATACTTGATTATAAATTTAAAAAATTATTAAAAACAATTATAGACAAACATTTGGTTAATTTTAACTGATTTTTTTACTATATACAAATAAATAAATTTAGGAAAGAGGAAAAATTCAAGAAAATTTATAAAAAAAATAAAATAAATATAATAAGGATTTGTTTGATTTGTTCAAGTCTCAAAAATCAAATACCTACACCAAACTGAACTGATCAATTTTATTAAAAAAGAAAACCAAACCTTATTTATGATCAGGTTTGATCGGTTTATGACATATATTTAAACTCCTTGTAATGCACAAGACTCAAGATAGATACCGATATTCAAGTGGATGTCATCGTCGACTTTCATGTAGAACTCGGCGTCCCACAGGGAAACGACGGTGGAGAAATAGAGACGAGTCTTGGAAGAGAGCTCATGGTAGCCCTCAACATGATCAAGTCTGAGAAAGTCTTTGTATTGAGCTTCTTCTTCGTCTATGCCTTTGTCTAGAATCCCTCCTGGTGTTGCACTGTGCCCTATCATGAACCTTATCACTATTCCCTTCTTCTTCTCCATTTCCTTCAACTCATTACCTATAATATTTATGTACCAAATCATTCACTTAATATATATTTCTATATTATGTGGTCCTCACTTGGCTTCTTTTATATATATATATGTATGTATGTATGTATGTATGTATGTATGTATGTACGTATGCAATCTCAGCTCCATAATATTACTCAATAATAAAGATTGTTGTAGTAAAAAAAAAAATGGGATTTTCCTTGGTTTTAAGTTAAATACGTGCGTGCGTGGGTGGGTGGGTGTGAGTTTGAGTTAATTTATATATTGATTGAGATTAAGTTTCTCCTCGATTTATTTTATAGCGACACATATTCCAAAATTAAAATGTGTATATATTATTGAATTTATTTACCTATTTTATATTCAATATGCATTTAATTTTTTTCCTATTTTTATGCTTTCAGACTTTTTTTAAAAAAAATTTGGGTTTAAAAATGACGTCTATTTGATAACCAAATAGAGGTATTTTGGAAGCCTTAGAGTTAGAATATTAAATAAGGTGATGGTGTGTACCTATCATCTCTCTAGAGTCATTGATTGTTAATAATAATGTTCATCTTTAGGCGTCTTTTTGAAGCATATTGATATATATATATATATATATATTTGTATGAGATTGAAATAAACTTAAAATGGAATTAATTAAAAACTTTATTGACAGAAACTTTTCTACTATAACTCAAAAGTAATTATAGGTCAAAATATATATATATATATATATATATCATATATTCTGTTTTATATGATATAATCAAATTAAAGATTACTACTACTATTATTACTTCCTCCGTTCAAAATATTTTAGTTAATTATTAAATAGTCTAGATTGTAATAAATATAACCAATATATATACACTTTTATTAATTCTCATATTATCTCTTAGATTTTTTTTTCATATATTCATGAGTTAATAAGGAACAAAATTATTAAAAGTAATTAATATTATATACAGGAATGTGAAACTAACAATCATCGTTTAAATACATGTGCACTTCGAATATGAAAATTACATTAATGAAATAATTAATTAATTAGTATTAATGGTAAAATTTTACCTGTAGGCATCCATGTTTGTCGAAGTGAATCTCGTCGTTGCTTGCTGCTAAAGGCTGTATTAATTCCAATAACCACAAAAGCTTTCTGTCTATTCTTATTTTTATTGTTATTATTTTGGCTTATTCTACGTGCTGCTGCTAGTTCCATTTCCAGTGTTGAAACTGCCTTATCCAGTGACCTATTATTGTACAACAAATTAATTAATCAATTAACTCTATATATTTCTATCACTACTATATATATATATGTTTAGGGAAAAATAAAATATATTTAAACAAGTAATAAAAATAGTATAATATGTGCTGTAATGTTGATTCGTTTTAAATCTTACTGTATAGCTTGATGCGTCTTCGAAACTTCCTCCAGAACATCTCCAGGCTTTCCTTCAGACAATTTCTGGAAAGAAAGAATTTAAAAAAAATATTTTTTCACTCACAAACTAAATAATCTAGAAATTGTTACAAAACTAGCAAATTTACTTAAATCTCATAGTGTTATTTAATAACTAATGAAAAAAATGTGCCAAAATAATCATGATGCGATGAATTATTTATAAGATATTTAAGCGCTAGCTTCTTCAGTTATTTTACAATATTAAGAAATCTTATATATGGTAAGCATACAACAGCATACAACAAACTACTTATATGAATTAATTTCTTCAGAAGTTATAAGTACTAATTAATTAATTACCCGCTTGTGATCGCAGCCTTGTGCTGTTGCTACCACCGGCACCGGGATTTCGACGGTAGACGAACGGGTCCAAATCTGGGTGGTGAATAGGGTTCCGGCGAGGAAACAGACGATGCTCAAGAAGAGAATGGTCTTGCATGAAAATGGCTTCCCTCTCATCTTCTTGATATTGTTGTTGTGATGATTATAATAATCACCAAGTTGATGTTGATGATGATGATGATGCCAAGGCCACAAGGAGACAATGCAATTCTGTAATGACGATCCTGCAATCAGTTTATGTCTCTGATCTGATGGCAGCACCTTGACGTTAATTAGAGCCTTGGTGTGAGTTTTCATGGAAAAGAAAAGAAAGAGCAGAGAAAATCTGAGAAAAATGATGATGAAGAAGAAGATGATCTCGTAGATCAGTGAAGATCAAACATAAGAAAGTTATGGTCTCTTTATAATAAGGTACTTTATTACGGTGCAATATATATATATATAGACACATACATACACACACGCGATGTGGGATGTGAAGAACTTGATTGATTAGGTAGAATAAAACAAAACTTGTGAGCTATATACTATAAAATGCAAAACCCATATGATATTTCTTGTGTGTGTTTGTATTTTTAATAGAATCAAGGTCAAGTGCACATTTTAGAGATGTGCCACATATGCACATTTGATCTAGACTGTCTACATTTAGGAATTTTTCTTTAGGAGAATCACAATAAAGTCCTAAAAGAATGAATTTATGATGGTTAAGATCCTAATAAAATTTCTGAAAAAATTAATTGTAAATATTGATTCGGACAATTATAAATTTAAAAATTTTAATTGCAAATAAGACATTTAAATTTTAAATAGAAAAAACATAATTTTGGGTCACCGCACTGTGCTCGAGTTTTGCCATAAATTTTTACAAATTTTTCGGTGTTCGAGATCCCTATAACACCGCTCATGACCTTTGTCCTAAGGTCCTTACACTTTTATTGCTTCATGATTGGTGTTATAGGAACCTAGCATACCAAAAACCAAAAGTGTAGAAATTTAAAATATTAAAAAAAAAGTGCAATGACCTATAACCAAACTCAAACAAAGTACGAGGACTTAAAGTTATATTTTTCCTTCTAAATATAATGCTGATCAATTTGTAGTTGGGATTCTTGTTTGCAAATGTTTGAATTAATATTTAAATTTTTTTTCACAAATTTTTATCAAGGACCTATCTCCCTATTTTGAGACTTTATTGTCATTCTCCCATTTTTTTTTACTATTAAATTTTCATATTTTAATTCAATCGGTAAAACTATCATATCTTAATTAATTTTAACCTTCATCTTCTTTTATTTCTGAATAAAAAAAATTAAATGAGTTGAATTTCAGAAACTCAGTGGGAACTGGCCGGGGTGCAAGGTTAGCCTCATATTAAAAGATATATATGACATGTTTCCTTACCAACTAGACAACATTAATTGACTTTAAATTTCAACTTTTACTCAAAAAAAAAAAAAGAGTATCTTTTACAGCACCATTTGAGCAACGCCTAAAATGTGAGTCTTGATGGAAGATCCACGTTAATTAAGATATACATATATATATATATATATATATATAGCGTTTCCTTATTAGGATCGTAATTACCCACTGTGAATATATAATAATAAATAGTTGGTAACATGAAATACCATAATATTGTTTTTCACAGAAAGGAGAAAAAACCTTCTATAGACAAAAATATTGATAACTTAAATTGAAAAATATAAAAGTACTTAAACTATCTAAAAAAAATATGGAAAAACACAACAATAAGTCCATTTATTTTGATTGTATTTTATTTTTAGTCCCTATAGTTTTATTTCATTACTTCTAGTCTCTTTCGTTTGATCAATCAACAACATTAGTCCTCATAGTTTTAAAAATACACATAAAAACATGAAATAGTATTGATGGAAATAATTTCACTGTGACTCTACTAATTAACCCCTTTGCTGACATAGTAAAAATATGTGATGACATGAAAATAAATTAACCATGTATAATAAAAAACATAAGAGGTATATGGTAATAAGTTTTACATACATATATACATACATACATATACGTTCACACACACACATATGGCTTAAATGAAACATGAGAGGCAAAGATGAGATTAAGTACACATGTTAGCACAATTAATTATGTTAGTGGCAATTCAAGATTATGTTCATTTTTAAAACTACAAGGACTAGCATTGCACATGGATCAAATTAAAGTGACTAGGAATAATGAAATAAAATTATAAGAATTAAAACAAAATGCAATCAAAGCATAGGAATCTATTGTTGTATTTTCCCATAAGTAGATATAAAACTATCTAAAGACATTTACCAATCTGGATTAAGACATACTAATGTACGAAGGAAAATTGGGAAACGCAACTTTCAAGACCTCAAGCCATCAATTTTTTATAGGCTTATTTTTAGCAAAGAAACAAGTAGGTCATGATCATGTCATGTTATCACATGTGGGATGTTGATTAAAAAGATATTAATCAATTATAAAAATTTAAATCACATCTTCGCAAAAAACATATATAGAATATGTGAAGAACATGTCAAAATCTTTTGACTTATTAGAGAATTCTTGTGTATTCCAAATTTGGTTCCAAGATGGAAATTATTGAATAGATTATTAATATAAAATCTTAAGAAACACAAGTAAATAGTTTGTTGTGTAAGGATATGATCTAATTACAATATGCTTTTCTCATAAATGCATAAATTTTTATTGTCATGAAACACAAACTTTTAGTTTCTTTCTTTATAAAATATAATATTTTTAAATCTTATAATTTAACTTAACTTTTATACGATACTTATAAATTATAATTCAAAAATTCACATATCAAAAAACTTCGTTTAGTTCCCATTATTAAAACTTTGTAAACTTTTATTAAGTTTTGTTTATATAACTAATTGTACTTTATCTTAAATTCTTAATACGATAAATACTTATAATTTATTACAACCAAGGCAGTAAAAATAATGAAACAAAATTAACTTACATATATAACAAAATATTGTGTGTGTAATGGAAAAGACTAAATTAATTAAAAACCCTTAAATAATATATCTTTCTTATAACTCCACAGAAATGAATGCCAATAAAATACTTAAAAAAAAATGGGTTATCCACGGCTGTTCCAATGCTGCTGTTGATAACTCTAAATTTTATATAATTTTTTGTTTTATTATTTTTTATGTTAAGAGAAACATGGCCCAAAATAAAAATAATTGTTATATATAAAACTTTAAAAATAAAAATTAATACAAAAATTAAAAAAAACACACCACACAAATAATAAGGCAAATTAAATATGGACAAGAGAACACAAGCCAATTGTAACAAAAAAGAAATCAGAGAGATATAAAAATCCAGGATATATAATAATTAATATCATAATAAAAATGAAGATACAATCCAAAAGATAACTTTATCAAAAGTACGTAAAACCCCAAAAAAAGAAAAAACAGAGAAAAGATTTGTGATGAAAGAAGCTGCTCAATGAATCCTAGGGACCACACTACATAGTACATTGATGATTCCTTAGAATCACTACTCTCAAAGAGAATTCCATCCACTAGTTGACAAAGCTGAATCAATTTATTCTGTAATTTTAAATTCAAATTCTGAGATATACATTAAATAAATATATATCAAAAACATTCTCAAGATATTCATGAAACTGTTATTAGGAATAATGGTTTCACACAGTAAAATTTGGATCAATTTGAGCAAGAGATGATAATATCCCCGAATTTTCCAAAATATTGAAGGACGGAATGAAAAAAGAATTCCATCAACTAGTAAAAATCCAAGACTCGATCCAACTAGTCAAAATTCAATTTGGCTATCAAAAATCAGTTTCGTTGGTATTGCTGGAAAAGCAATGTTTAAAATTATAACTTCAATTGAGCGAAGGAAAAAAAATACTAGATTTAAATAAATACAAAGTAAATTGATGAAATTGCATACCTGGAAATGGGATGTGAGGTTGCAGGATCATGGAAAAATTTATATGGAAATGGTTAATTTTCTGTAATTAGATTTCTTTAAAAGTAAAGTACTGACCCATCATGATGATATTCTCAAGCCAACTTTCTATTTGTGTGATTAATTATAGTCATAAGGTATGTTTGTATTGCTTGAAAAAATATTGGTAGTTTGATCATGCAGTTTTCATGTTTCAACAAATTAATATGTTTTAACAGAAAAGACCTTCCTCACTTTGTGTGTGAAATTTGGCTTCTCTTCATAAACTAAGAAAATTTTACTTTTTACTTCATTTGGTTTATACAATTTTAATATTTTAGAAACTATATATGTTTGGATCAAGCATAAAAATACAAAATTTAAAATATATTTTTTAACATATGGATAGTTCATATATATATATGAGCTTGTGTGTGTCCATATTTTTTATTTCTTTCTTATATATTTAATATTTTATTATAATTCTTCTAAAAAATTATATTATGAAAATTTGTTTAAAAACTATACTAATCAAAATCTTAATATATATATATATAGTCTTATACAGACACATCAAATTTGAAGGACACACATTTTTCTATTAGGGGCTATTAATTTGTTTAAGCTTAAATAAATGATTTTCAGATTATCCAAAAAAATTTATTTAATTTTAAGATCATAAAAAATATGTATTCTTTAATGATTTTTAAGTTTTATAATAATTACAACATTATATTATATTTACATCACGGTGATTATTGTTCACAATCAAGAAAATTTATAACACTGCAATTGTACAAGCTAAAAAGCTTCTCTAGTTATATCTAAATTTAAATTGTTTATGAAACATCTTATGATTTCTATATTAGCACAATATTGGAAAATTAAACGATAAAATTTTTAAATATTTTTAGATATTAATATTGATATATATATATATATACACACACACACATATATATATATATATCCTCACAAAATATCCCGATTTTGTGTGTGGTAGGTGTACTAGAAATTTTGAGGGCTTAGATGCCTACAATAACTTCATGAGACAGAGCAGCACATGTTAGTAATATTTCTGTGCAGTAAAATTCAAAACCTGAATTTCAGGCTTTGATGGAAACGTAGACCAGAATAAACTAATTAAGAAGTTTAATTAAATTCCCAATTTCTTTAATTTATTAAATTTCAATTCAGATTATGGTCAACAAATAAATTCAAATTTAAGTTAGCTTCTTCTTTTTTTATTTTTTAATTAATAATCAAATATACATTATAAGGATAAAGGATTATAATCTTTCAGTTAAAAAATATAAGGAATTTGTAACTAACCAAATTTTACCCCTAATAAGTTAACAGTAAATTGGCCCAATAGCTGCAAAAAAATATATT